CTGCTCGACATCTCGTATGCCGTCTTAAAAAAAAAAAAAAAAAAAAAAAAAAGTGCGGTGCAAAAGTGTCAAGGCACGCAGACCCACAGGGGAGGGGGAGGTGCATGCTGGAGTCCCACAGGGCTCTGCTGAACTACAAGCTTCAGCTCTGTTCTGGTTCCCTGGTGCCTCTCTGACAGGAATATACCACACATGGGACGGCCTTAACAAACAGGAGTTTATTGTCTCACAGTTTGGAGGCTTTAAGTCTGATTTCAAAGTGCCAGGCTCTAGAGCCTGGGTGAAAGCCCCTCAACCTTGGGCTTTAGCACTACTTCCTGCCCCTGGCCCCCTAGAGCTACAGGCTTTTCTTCACTCACACAGCTGCTGGTGCTGAGACAGGGAAGCCCAAGGTTGGCAAGTACAAAGGCACAGTCCTGATGTTCCCAAACCACACTGCAGGCCATTCATGCAAGTCCACTGAAAGTCCCAAGGCCGGCAGAGTACGGGGGGCTGAACAACAACACAGCTGCACGCAGGGTTCAAGCGTGCCATCGACTGGAGACCGTCCCCAAAGCTGCTTCTTATGTACAGGAAGGAGACCCCGTCCCTAAAGCAGCTGCTCACCAGCCTCATCACGGAGAATGAACCACCACCAGCGACCCAGCCACTCAACCAGGCCCAGCCAAGCTGACACACAACCGTAATGACCACAGGAAGGGTCACTAAGCTCATTGCTTGCCACATCCTGAGAGCTACTGAAGAAAACATTCCAGCAAGGGCTCCTTTCCCAGCACATCTGCAGTCCATCTCCCACATCCCTACAGCAGCTCCGCAGCTACTCCAGTAGATTCCACCACGGAGTCAATTACCAACATCACCAGGGGGAATGACTACATCCAGCGGCCCAGCCACGCAGCCAGGCCCAGCCAAGCTGACACACAACCTTAACTACCACACACACTAAGGTGAAAACAGACATAAGACATTTGCCAGCATAACAACTTCCACATTGACAGCTCGGGATATTGATGACATTTTTTATGTCGTGCCACCATTATTGCTGTCCGATATTAACCAAAAAGACCCAAACTTAGTGTCACTGACTCCATCCTGACGCATAGCGACCTCCATTGGGTTTCTGAGGTGATAAATCTTTATGGAAGTAGATTGCCCCATCTTGCTTCTGCAAAGCGGTTGGTGGGTTTAAACCATCAACCTGTGATCAACAGTCAAATGCCTTAGGCACTGCCACTAGAGGTCTAAGGACCCTAAGGAACTCTTTATGTCAGGTTAGAATTTCTGCTTTCTGCATTTTTGTCTGATGCTATTAAATGCCTCTCTAGAAAAGGGAACAATTTAAGATTAGATTGTAATTCAGGATTATGGAAACAGTCAAAACTTTCAGGGGTTCATTACAAGGAAGAGATCCTGAAGAGGAGAGATCCAAAAAACAAATAGATACATGCACACACATGTTCAGCGAGGGACTATTCACAACAGCAAAGAAATGGGCACAGTGGAAGTGCCCATCAACACAGGAATGGATAGCCAAACTAACATATGTACACACAATGGAATACTAAAGAATAATGCAGAATCGGTGAAACACTGCATACCAGGATGAACTTGGAGGACATTATGCTGAATGAAATAAGAAAAATCACAAAAAAAATATTGTTTGAGTCCAGTATTGTAAAAAGTCAAGGAAAGTTTACACAAAGGAAATTTTCCTTGTTGCTTAACAGAGATGGGAGGGCAGAAGGCAGGGAACACAGAAAATTAAGGGATAGGTTTGCTATGGGTATAGAGATTTGAAAATAAGGAAGGTCAGCCATTAGTTGACAGTTTCTGAAGTTAGGTTAAGGCATAGGGATTCACTGCACTCATCTTTCTGTTTGAAATGTTTTATAACAATAATAATTATAATAAAAAGAGCACTTGTCAAGTGGCTGTGGTTGGACAATGGTGAAGCACTCAGATGTTAACTGGCAGTTCCAACCCACCAGTGGTGGCATAGTGGATCAGGCACTTGACTGCTAACCAGAAGGTCAATGGTTCAAACCCACTACCCATTCCGCAGAAGGAAGACACGGTGATCAAATTACATAAAGATTTACAGCCTTGGAAGGCCAATGGGGGTAGCTATGAGTTAGAAATGACTCGATGGCACTAAGTGTGGGTTTTTGGTTTAGCAGCTCTGGAGAAGCAAAGACACAGAGATCTGTTCCAGTAAAAGCTACACCTGAGGAAATCCTACTCTCTCCTACAGGCAGACCAATAACAATAGTGAAATAAGGTTTACGTTTTAAAAAAAATGAAAAAAAAAAAAAAAAAAAAACTTACAACGACTAAATACCAGTCTAAGCACAGGTGGCAGCACAAGGATAGAGACTGCGGATTCACGTTTCCCAAATATCTCGAAGCCTCAAGGGAAGAGCATTCCCCATTAGAGGGAAAAAAACAAAATGTGTCTGAAGGCCCCACACCGCATCCAGCTGGCTCGCTGTTTGGGCTTCACAGCTCTGGTACCGTCATGAGAGGACCAGCACCACCCACGACCCCGTAAACACTCAGGGTCTTCACCTATGAACTCACTCCCCCTTTTCTTTTTGACCCATAACATGTCTTGAGAGAGGGAGTTGTTAGGTTAGAACTGCACAGAAAATATTCCAGTGTCTACGCCAAGTAAAGGAAACTGCTAAGAGACATGGGACGAGGACAGGCCTGGAGGGTCTACTCCAGAGACTCTGTCATTCAACACAGAGCACCAAGGCCCAGGGTGGGTATGGGAACGCTCCACGGTGCCAGCTGAGAGTCAGAGAAAGTGACACCAGGCATCCGTGTCTAGAAAAGCCACCCACAAAAGTACAGAGGAAGGGCCCAATGACACCAATGACCATGGAAGCCCCCTGGGGCTCACTCCCTCAGTCTCCTGTCACTTTTCTTCGTTGAGGAATCACAGACCCATAGCACACAGTAGTCCCTCAACAATTCATATCCACCCTCATCTACTTATGGTAAAAAGAACCAGTTCTCTACAGAACTCACCATTTCCTGCCTGCCTCTTCTGGAAGTATAAGGAAATGTCATCTCTGAGCCCAAGGAGACACTTCAGGAGGAGGGAGGGGAGTGGAGGCAGAACACTGGGCAGTTAGGAGGCAGACGAATAACGTTCGGTCCACACACCAGTCAGAGCCGCTGAAATCCTTCCTTGAGATTTACAGATGTGCAAGATGGTTGCCCTGGGTCCTCAGCCGCCTGGACTGGATGCGTTCTCCCTGACCCCCACTGCAGAGCTGAAATGGAAGAAGGATGGGAGGAGACAGTGGTGAGGAAGCAGAGAGTGACAGGTGTTTGGCTTCCTCCCAGGTTCAGGGTGATGCTCCACCCTGAAGATGTTAGGTAGTTAGCATAGTTGTCATCAGGAAAGAAAACAGAAAAACAGATGGGATTCGTAGAACTAAATAAGGAAGTTGACCAGCAGGTTCTGGCCAAATCAAGCCCCCAATATTTGTACAACAGAAAAGGACTGTCATATAAAGCTCATTGCTACTCCTCCTTTAGGAGTGGCCTGTTCCCAATTCCTTTGGACCATACTTTTGCCTTAAAAAGCTTGTGTGTTTGAGATTGCTACTTGGGTGTTGATTTCTTTGCACCACACCTGAGAATGATTACCTCAAGCCAAAACTGCTGCTGTGAGTTTTCTTTGATTCTTCAAGGCAGCGTGCTGTGGAGCCAGAGCTCTCCCAAGTTAAGAGGGGCACCTGCACTGAAGGCAAAACAGGCTCCAGCCTCCAGACACAGGCCTCAATTCCTCATGCAGTTCCCTGGGCCTCTTCTTCCTGCAACATCACAGACGGAGGAATTCACTAATCCCAGAGCCTGAGAAGTGACCAGCCTGGCCAGGCTACAACACTTGACCCTGACTGTTCTTCCAGGGAGTCAGGGGTCCAATGTGGAAGTTGTAGGTTCAGCTTGTAACTCTCTCCCTTACAGATCAACACCCACACTGTTGTTGGATATTAATATGGGTATGTTTTCAGAAAGATCAAACTTTCTAAGTTTGGTGAGTGATGGCATCATGGTTCCTTCCTTTTTAGTTTTGTGCACTGATAAGCCTTCTAGTGTGCTTTTAAAAAAGCTTCCTTTAGAGGCCAATAATGTAACAGTAGCACCAGGGAGGTACACATCTGTAGAACCATCAGCCATACTAGACTAAAGGGGAGCAGACACACAGGGAGAAAGTTCAGAAGACAGGAAGGGATAGGAAAGCAAGCCAAATGGAAACAGAACGCACAGGGAAGAAATGGGAAGTGTGCTGATACATTGCGGGGGAATGCAATCAAGGGCATGATACAAAATGTATATAAACTATTGAATGGAAAACCAATTTCCTCTTTAACCCTTTGCTCAAATCACAATAAAAATTAAGTAAATAAATAAAAACATTACACTTACGGTACAGTTCAACTCTTATCACGTAGTGTCATGATTAGATAGGTGTCAACTTGATGACACCTAAAACAACAAATATATATATATAATTGGGGACATAAACAGATTATTATTACTATTATTATTTTTTTTAAAAAAGGTATTTTTACAACTATGTTTTTGTGGTTGTTATGTGCCGTTGAGTTGGACCTGACTCATAGCACCCCTCCTTGGGTTTCTGAGATGGTATCACTACGGAAGTAGATTGGCCAACCTTCCTTTGGAGGAGTGGCTGGTGGGTTTGAAAGGCCAGCCTTCTGGTTAGCAGTCAAGTGCCTCAGGCACTGCAACACCAGAGCTCCTACAACAATGTTATTACAGCAGTATTCCCCACAGCAAAGAAGTGGACAAAAATAAACAAAAGTCCACCCACAGATGCATGCATAAACAAAATGGAATACTATCTAGTCATCAAAAGAAAGTTCTCATAAATGCCACATCATGCATGAACCCTGAAAACACTGTGCTGAGTGACAAAAATCACACACAAGAGGACAAAGAGGGTACAATCCCACTTCGATGAAATCTCTAGAAAGAGCAAATGCAGAAACACCAAATGCTACTTGGGGGCAGATGGGAGGGAGGAGGGGGTGTTCATGCTGAAGAGGCAGCGAGCATTTGCTGAGGGTGATGGGAAAACGGAGGTACTGACACTGGTAACGGCTGCACAGCGTGGAGAAAGGCCTTAATGTTACTGAACTGTACATGCAAAAAAAGGCTGAAATAGGAGACAAACACAAAAAGATATGAAGAAATGGATGGATACAAGGAAAATAGAAACAGAAATTTAGTTCTTAGTCTGAATGTGTAAGTCAAAGGAGGAAAATGTACACACTACGGGAACAGAGAGAGGAAAGTGGGTATATTAAAGATTTCACACCAACCTTAAGCTATACTGACCTAGAGAAGAGAACAGAGCATAGGTGAGCTGTACTGACCTAGAGAACAGAATCACACTGGAGGAAGTGAAGTAAATAAAAAGTTGACGTTTTAAGGTAAAAGGATTTAGATCACCTTGTGAATAATAATAATAATAAAGACGTTTTCCTTAACAGAAAATCAGGGGCTCCAATTCTAAATACTTGAAAAAAAAAAAGATTACGCTACAGACATTGGAGTTCCCAGTGATTTCTAAACCAGGACACTTACATTCAGACACTTGGAATGCACTCCACGGGGTCTTTGATGCTGCCACCTTTGGAAAGGAGGATCACCAGGCCTCTCTTCCATGGCACATGGGTGTGGGTCCAATGCGCCAACCTTTCACCTTTTTCACCACCCAGGGACCTTGTCCTTGAATCATTGACTTTGTAATATACCTATTACAGAAGATGAGATACTTTGGGCAACACTGTAGCACGGCTCACCCTCCAGGACCTGTGAGTGGATTCTGATCAGCTTCATCACACAGGCCTCCCGTCTTCCATCATTCTTAATATTCACTGTCCTGACAATAGGAATGTGCAGTTTGTGCTCCGTAAAGCCTTCCAGCGATTATGAAGCGTGGCTCTTTGGCAGCAAAAACACTGGTTCAGTCCTCAGCACTGAGTGAGAATCCTTCATTGCGCATATCAAGAGTCTTCCTCATATGTTTTTCCAAGCCAACTCGGACTTGAAGAAAATGTCTGCCTCACAGCTAAAGAAAGGCCTTGAAACATTCTTTTTCATAAATATTTTCCTCCTGAAATCGGGATAAATACACTCCTAAATGTCCACTGAGAACAGTACTTGCAACAACAGACTCAAGCACACCAAGGGTGGTGAGGATGGTGCGGAACTCAGCAGTGTTTCCTTCTGTTGAACACACATACACGTGGGCTCACGAGGAGTCGCCACCAACTCGAAGGTACAGAACAACCTAACAAAAAACGCATGGAAGTAGTTTCAGCTCGTGTTTCTTCACTTTTCGTAAGTCTTAAACACCTACAAGTACTGAAGGAAGAGAGATCTCTTTCCACCATAATCTCTGTGTGTGATGGACCAACACCACTCAACCAGAGCCCTGCCTCATGAAGGACCCAGAACAGAGAGGAGCCGTTTTAGGCAGGAAACTGTGGTCAATAACACACCCCGTGACATAAGGACAGCCCTGCCATTTAGGCACTGCCACACACTCGGTGGTGGTTCATGGACAAGCTACTTTTTTTTTTTTTGGTTTTTTTTTTTTTTTTATTAGGATTTGGGTGAAGATTTACAGAGTAAATTCACTTTTCATACAGCAGTTCACATATACTTTGTCTCATGTCATTGACCAAAATTTACAATGCAGCAGCTCCCCTCCCACTTCCTCCCCATAGTTACCTCCTCCCAGTGTTCATCCCTTCATACTCTTCGAGAGGCCCATTGTCTGCCAACCCTGTATATGATCTTGGATACACTCTCCATTTAGACATACATAATTGTTTAGCTTGTTCACCCATCTATCCGTCCCTATACCCATGTTTGCTTTCATTAACAACTCAGTATTGTATTTACAAAGGGGTTCATATTTGTTGTTTGTACTGCCCATGTAACTCTCTCTGTCTTTCTCATCCTCAATGCTGCCATATTGGTCACTCACATTTGGTACATTGCCCTTCTCTTCACCCAAATCAATATTTATCTCTATCTATCTAACAGCATTCCCTCCCCTTCCCTCCCACCCCTGGTAACCAAGAAAATGTCCTCCAATATATAAACATTTCCTTAACTTTTACAATAACGGACTAATACAATATTACGGACAAGCTACTTTATTTCCACAAGCCTGTTAATTTTGTGAAATGCCACAAACCTCCCACCCTCAGCGCTGTATTGTGACTAGAAGAGGTGCATAATATAAAGTACTCAGCGCAGGGCCCAGCGCTTCTGACCTCGCTCAGTGAATGGTAAATGCACACACGGGCCACGAGAGGCCTCAGGAGTAACTCAGGTGAGCGCCGGTCTGCGTGTGCGCATGCGCGTATGCGCCCACCAACAACCCCACCCAACCACCACCCCGGTACCGAGTCGGTGCGGATGAGGCCGGAGTCTGGCAGCCGCTAAGTTGTTTGAAGAAAACCCCGAGAGCCCGCCGCGGTGTGGCGGCTGGGAGCCGGGGTTTGGACTCAAGAGTAACGACCCTGGGGTCCACGCGGCCCGGGCTCCACATATTTTACGAACTTGTGGTGACGCGGACGCTGAGGGGCTGAGAACCTCACGTTTGTTCACGACGGTTCCCGCGATGTTACCTGTTCCCCTACCTGGAGACGCAGGTCCACAACGGCTGCTCGGCGTCCAGGCAGCGGCTGCAGCCGCCTGGCCGAGATCGCGAGAGAAGCGGCGGCGGCGGCGCCCCGGCGACAGGAGGTTCCGAGGCTCCGTGAGGCGGAGAGACGAGAGTGCGAGGAAGAGCGGGAGTAGCGCCTCAGACTCCGGACCGGAGCCCGCGGGGCACCTGCCAGGGACCAGTGTCGCTCCAAAGCGCGGCTGCGAACGACCGACGACACACACTTCCGCTTCCGTTGTCTGCACTTTCGCGGGAACACGGATGCTGCAACTTGTGACCGCGGGGTTCAATGGTTCCCCTTGTGCTTGGGCTCTAAACAGGGTTGTCTCATTTCTCTATAGAGAAAGATCTCGCTTTTCTTCAATGTATGTGGGAAGCGATACCGGGGAACAAAGAAACTCGGTATTAACATCCTTCGCCGATTGACAAATGTTCCTGTGTTTTCTAGAGAAATCATTTCTTTGCTCCTCAGGTCTATTTCCCCATGGTTAGACTTGAGAAGTCGCTGGGCTGGCTTGTTTCCTGGGTTTGTCTCCTGCAGATCCAGTATCTTCCTAGGAGCCAGACAGACACCACAAAGCCAGCATGATCTCTCCAAGGGCTAAGCCCCCTTCATGTAAGAGTTTGCCTGGGTGAGAGGGCACGTTCTAAGAGTCAGTGAATTCTCTTTGAAAATGACACTATGTGAACTGCTGTATGGAAAGTGAATTTGCTCTGTAAATTTTCACCCAAATCACAGTGAAAAAAAAAAAAGAAAGAAGAAAGTGACAGTATGAAAGCTTTTATTTTTTTGACATATATACACATATATATTATAAAGGATGGAGCTCTGATGGCATAGTGACTAAGGAATCTGACTGCTACCCAGAAGGCTGGCGGTTCAATACCACCAGCCACTCCAAGGAAGGAAGACTGGGCAATCTGCTTCTGTGAAGATTTAGTGCCTCGGAAACCCAAGGAGCAGTTGCTATGAGTTGTAATCGACTCGATGGCAGTGAGTTTGGGTTTCGGTTTTTATATAATAAAGTACATATTATGTACCAACCTTAACACAAAACGTGATCAAATTTTACATGTGGGTATGCACTCCTATTGTGACAGGAGAGGGACCTGTAAACCCAAGTGGATTCTTTTGGTGAGAAAGAATTGCTCGCAGAGACAGGTGGTTTATAGAGAGAAAGCCTTTAATGAAACTCTGCATGACAATGTCCAGTGGGGCATCAACCAAGCATATACATCATGCTAGCTGGACTGCCAACATTTCCCAGCTGGTTTACAGCAACTATAGGGAACAGAATGAGGAAGCTATAGACAATTAGCAAGTCTCCTGGGAGGGATTCCTAGCTTCTGATGTTCTGGTCCCTCCAGACTGATCCAGGCATCTGCTTCTCTATAGATAAAAGGGGCTCCATCACAGTCTCCTGTGTTAACACCCTTGGACCTGTAACGAATGGTCTGACAGTTGCATACTTTACTTGATTCACATTTTTCCAATTCCTATCAGTACGAGTAGTTTAAGTAGTTTGCAAAAGAATGTGACTGGCAACTTCTATTCCTTACATTTGTGCCTACCTCACTACCAGTACAAAAAACAAAACAAACAAACAAACAAAAAACCTCACTGCTGTTGAGTTGGTTCCAACTCATAGCCAACCCTCCTTGGATTTCCAAGGTTGTATCTCCATGGAACTAGATGGCCCAGTCTTCCTTCGGAGGAGTGGCTGGTGGGTTTGAACCCATCTGGTTAGAAGTCAAATCGCTATCAGTAGCGGTGAGGTAACGTACAAGGGAATGGGGCCTGGTGGTATCCTTACATCTGTGGCTACCTCACTATAACCTCTGAGATGACGTCAAGGAAATTTCCTGGCACTCAAAGAGTCCCTCTTTTCCCGAAGGATATTCACCCTAGAGGCAATCAGTGCTCTTACTGTTATTGCCAGAGATAGAATTTGCTCATTCTTGGCATCATATAATTGCAGTCATACTATGTGAAATATATTGTATCAAGTCAACATGCTGTCTTGTGAGATTTCATCTACGTAGCTGCACATAACAGTAATTTATTATTTGTCACTTTTATTCCAAAGGATGAATAAACCACAATGTTCCATTTGTTTTTAGGTACTCAACAACAACAACAGAGTTGATTGCTGACTTGGGCATTGCTCCTGGTTGTCACTGTTCATTTTATAGGCCTATTGTTTGGCTAAGTGAGCTCCAAGTGGCTTCAATTTGAAGGGTGTCTCAGGGCCACAGTCTCAGAGTTTCTACCAGGTGCTATTATACCAGTAAGGTAGGTTTTGCTTACTATTTAAATCTCATTCTCTATTTTTTTCCCACTCTGTCTAGAACCTAGTAATGCCATCCAACTCAGAGTGGTAGGATTTCTTAGCCTGGAAACCATCTATTTCCTCTGGTTTCAGGCGCTTGGAGGCTGTACTTCACATAGTCCATTAGTCTTTTAAACTCATTGCTTCCTTGCGTCTTTGATGTTTTCACTCTTCTTTGCTGGAGAGATGAAATGAACAACTCTTAGATGGCTGCTTGCAAACTTTTAAGATTCCAGTTGCTACTCACCACAGTAGGATGCAGACCGGGGAGGCGGGGCAAGATGGC